AGGAACTCTGTTGGTGTTTGTTGTTCCTCTTGGAGAGGAGTTAGATATCAATGGAGGGGTGGTAAGTAGCAGGTGTCGATCAGTCCTCAGTCTGTATAGGGATAGGACTGGTGGATCGGTCGAGAGAAGGAGGAGCGACAATGGATTTCTTCGGCCGTCAGGAGCTTAGTTCAGAAAGCAACAATGACACGTATGGGAGTTGTTTTCTGTACTGTGCTGTGGAAGGCCGGAGACTTCTTCTTGTGGTCAATTCTTAGGATCAGTTCAACAAGGACGTCGGGGGAACCACTAGTGGCGGTGAAAGTAAGAAACAGGTGTAATTCTCTTCTCGGTGGTCACTGCAGGTATCTCGTGAAGTCCTTTTGATGATAGAGGCTGTCGTTCGATCCGTACGGAGGAAGAGGTACGGAGAAGAGGTACGGTCGCGGGAAGTCGATTCACGGGGTGGCGAGTTTGGATCGATTCGATGCAGAGATCGATTCGATTCGCATTCGATTCGAATCAAGTCACCGGTTGCCTTAGGGTTGAGGTAACCGGGCCTGTTGTTGTGGAGGAAAAGGATCGATCGTTCGAAAAAGAGGATCGACAATGGGATTTCGATGGCCGTCAGAGCGTAGCATGAGAAACAACAAATAGATATGGGATTTGTTTTCTGTGCTGTGCTGGAAGACCGGAGACTTCTTCTTGTGTTCAATTTCTTCCAACTTGGTCGTCGGCGGTCGAGAAAGAAAACCCGCCCGATCTCGTAGGATTTCATTGGGATGGCTTTCGAATCTGAACCGGAGAAGGCCGCTTTGATGTCGCTTGATAGGGGAGGTGCGCAGGTGATAGGAGGTATCGATCCTGTCGACTGGAGGGACTTGAATGAGGATAAAGAGAGGAAAAGGAGTGTGTTTCCTGTGATGACGTTGAGCGGATTCCTATAGTAAAACAGTACTCTTCAACGATATAACAGAAACAGGCTTCTGAGGTCCTTTCGCTTCGTTTCAATGCTTCTAATGGTCTAATAGGTAGTGTAATGGTATAGGTATGACCGATTGGTTGTGTTTGTTGCTAATTAGTGTTGTTGTTCTTGTATGACAGATCCAGGGAGAAGCGTTCGTTTTCGGCTTCCCTTGAAAAAGTGCATTTGGCAACATGGTTGCATTTCGCTTTTCTTCTTGCGATCGCCTTGACCGCAGCGTTGGAGATTTCTTCATAAGGACAGAAAGTTTCTTCTTGGTGTAGGACTGGCGTCGTCAGACTTGCGTTTCCAAGTCTTGTTCTTGTTGTACGCTGGCTTGCTATCGTTGTCAGACGAGGACTTGGCTTTGAGTTTCTTCAGAGTCATGCAATCAGCAGTATTTTAGTGCTGGACTCGTGGTAATCACACCACTTTTCTTCGTCTTGGAGAATGGTCGTTGTTGCGAGTAGACTTGTACTTCTTGCTGTTGTGAGTCCAACGAAGACCTTCTCCATATCGTAGCCCACTTGATGGTCTGACGTGGAGTGTTGGAACCATTGATGATGGCTACCTTGAAGGTGTATTTGGCACTGTTTGCATCTGCAGGAACGGTGCGAATTTGTAGGTGGTTGCACGAGAGTCGTCATTCGGCGTCTTCATCATTGTCGACGAGAGGAAGAATGGGTTTGTACACGCAACTGTTTCTCGAAGTTGTGAAGCATGCTTTCCTTGAGCAATCTTCATGGTGAAGGAATAGAGTTGAGGGTAGCTGAAAGCTATTGTGTTTGTTAACAAAATGCCTACGCTAAAAGCTAGTGTAAAATCTTTCGAGTGTTTTGTGTTTGAGAGAATGAAAGTTATGAGAGAGATTAGAAAGCTATGAAAACTAATCAACGAGAGAGATCACCATCAAAGGATCGAGATCTGGTCTCCGCGGAGACTAAAGTGTGATAGAGTAGGTTGCGAGTAATCCTACGTTCTCCACGATCCTAAAACGAACGCGTGGAAGATTCGTCTAGCATGGATCTGTAGCGTGGAAGTACTCCACGCTGCTAAATATCTAGAGCGATGTTTCATCATCAACCTAGTATGACTAGAGCGGTCATTGAGAACCCTGTTCCAAATAACTATCACGAGAGACTCAGTCATGAGTCGAACTCAAACCCTATCTAGGATCGAGTCGCGAATAAGGCTAAGAGCCGTGTATTGCACACGCATCTTATACGATGTGCGTCACGCGAACCCCAAGTTTGGGCCTGTCCGACTCTGCAAACACGACATCAAGGACGGCTTCTACCGCATGTTCCTGAACCCCTCCGACTGCATCCGACTCGCACTGGTACTGCCTCGCTATGAAGGTGAGCCCCAACTGGTGGCCGTCCCAATGTCATGTACTATGGGATGGGTCCAGTCGCCGCCCACTTTCAGTGGCATGTCAGAGACCACGGACAACCCTAAGGGGACCGTCACCAACAGTGACCTCAAGCAAGCCGCCATCCTTGCGCAACACTCCTTGCAAGCAGCGCAGCACTGCGTCACCTACGCCATCCTCTACACTCTCTCGGACAACACCCCGGCCGTCTCCAGAGTCTCCAAAGGGGCGGCGACTTCAGATGGTCCTGCGGCATTCCTCTGCAACTACGCCTGCCGCCACCAGCAAGAGCACCGCTACTGCGCCCTCTCGTCCTACATCCCGGGTCCTGCCAATGTGATGGCTGATGATGCATCGCGTCTGCAACACCTCACCCTGCCTGAACTTCTCGCCCACTTTAAACAGCGCTATCCGCAGAACAGACCCTGGCAGGTGTTGACTTTGCCACCCGAGGTCAGTTCACAGTTGATCTCCGCCTTGCGCTGCAGACCGCTTCCAAGAACATTGTCTCCAAGACAGCCGCCGCCCGCGACCGAACCTTTGGACGATGGTGTGACTTCTGCGCGGGCCTCGGCATCAACCCATCCCTCTGCGATATCCCTGACCAAGAAATCCAAGCCTGCTACCTCCTCGTCTTCGGAAACCATTACCGCCAGTCTAACAATGTCCGAGCTTACTCAGTGGACAAGGCCCTTCTCGCCGTCGGGAAGGGGATCACCGACCTGAGTCACCCTGATCCCAGAAAGCTCAAAGCAGGATCCGACCACAACCATCCAATACTCGCTGCTTTCGGATGAGGATGGCCCCCCTGACCGAGCCTACCCCGTCAACCTCTCCATCCTCCGAGCTATGCTCGACGCCCTGGACTACGCCGCCGCCACCTGGGGAACCCTCAACCGCCACGTCCGAGACCTCTGCATCCTGGCCTTCTTCTGGCTTCTGCGCTCTGCGGAGTACCTGGACACCGGGAACCCTGAATCCCGGAGCCAAGCCTTTCACCTCTGTGATGTCTTCTTTACTGTCCGTGGCGGCCTCCAAGTCCGCGGAGACACCATCTCTTTGAATGACGTGAAGAACCACGCGCGCCTCACCGGCGCCACGTTTACATTCACTGACCAAAAGAATGCTGTCCGTGGCGAATCCGTGGGCCACCGCCCGACCTCTGATCCGTGGCTCTGCCCGGTGAAGTCTCTCGCGCGTGTGGTCTACCATCTCCGTACCAACGGCGCCGATGCCGATACTCCCCTCTTTAACCACTTCAATGAGGCCCGCAACCGGTGGTATCCTGTGAAGCCCCAGTTCATCACCAACGTCCTCCGCCACGCTGAGGCCCTCATCTCCCACGACACCGGCATCAACCCTGATAAGGTCTCTGCCCGCTCCCTCCGTCCTGGTGGTGCCACAGCCCTTCTCTGCGCACATGTTGACTCGGATGCCATCCGCCTTCTCGGCCGCTGGAAGTCCGATGCCATACTCCGCTACCTGCACATCCAAGCCGCTGCCGCCACCCACCACTACTTCCAACAGATGTTGGAACATGGGGCGTACAACTTCCCGGGAGGCACCTACGATCGCCACCTCCTCCCGGCGCAAGCGCCCCAACACTTCAATGAGATTCTTCTCCACGAAGAACTCTACGAGAACTAACCTACCTTAGTCCTCGCCCCCCCCCCCTGTCCTTGCGACAGGGGGCAACTTTTCCCACCCCGCTATGCTCCCTCCCTGTTCTGCCTTTGGCTTTTGGGTTGCACGACTGAAGGCTGTCCTGTGGAACATCACATTCCCGGGACTCCCTTCCGCCGTGTGGGATCCATCCGGGACTCCCCAGTCCCGAATGGTACCCCGGGGACTGGAGACGGTCGGCTCAGTAAATGGCCGAGTCTCTCCACTCACCTAATCCTCTACTAGTCGTGCCTAGCTGCTCTGGGCGAGCGCAGCTTGTCTGCGCTCGTGTGACGCGTCTCACCAGCACGACATTTTTGCACGACATTTTTGCACGACATTTTTGCACGACATTTTTGCACGACATTTTTGCACGACTTTTATGAACGATTTTAATAGAACATTAAATGATTTTGTTTTTCTCATTTAAAAATATTTAAAATTGAGCAAAATTAAATTAATTATTCTTTTTTAGATGTATTTTAATATTTCTGAATAATATTAGTTTCTAGAAAAACTTGCGTTTATAACAGAAAAATATTTTGATATTATATAAATTAGCTGTATTGTTATAATCTATTCATTTTATATATGTTGTTTATTTTGTTATTTTTACTATTTTAATTCGTTTTATTGCCAATAATTAATGAATCATTGTTAAAAAAACATATAACTTGCAGCTGTTTTCTGAAGCCACACTTTAGATTATAGGAACTGCATTTGAGTCTGGCATTTTTTTGATTCGGGTACTGTTAATATAGACAATGGTTGTAGCAGAGCTAGTAGCAGTGCTGATGATGGCAGCAACGAGGATGGGTCCATCACGAGGCGACCCATTCCCTTAAACTTCATATGTTGAGTTTTATTAATATTTCCCTGGCTGGTTGGGTCAAATGTCTCTGCCCCCATGTTATCAGTTTATGGCACCCGGTACCAGCAGCACAGTAGACAAGTGGTCAGCCAAAATTGATTCTATTCAAAAATTATTTATATGCATACGTGTTCCCTGTTTTCTTGTGTTCCCGCGCGTCCTTGGTTTTGGGTTGTACCTGTTGCTCTCGTGACTGACAAAAAGATCCATTCACGGGTGCCTGAGCTCGCTGTTTTTGCTTCCGGTCTCTCCGCCCTCTAAAGCTCAAAGCTGACCAAAGCTCAGAAAAGATCATCGTCCCTTGATTGATTGACCATGTCGACCGACCCTACATCAGCAACGGCCTCTGGTATCACCATTCAAGGCACCAAGGTGCATTTGCACACATGGAATGGAGGAGCCAAAGAAGCCCAAGGCTTGGTCTTAATCTTTCATGGTTTTGCCGCCCACGGAATGTACCCCACGGTCAAGTACGCGGCGGAATTGTTGTCTCAGTCCAACTATGTGGTGGTGGCTCCAGATCTCCCGGGTCATGGTCAATCGGATGGACTTCGAGGGTACATTCCCAGTGCCCAAGGTCTGATTGACATTGGAGTGGAAATTGCCAACCACGTCCAAAAAGAGCACTTGGAAAAGACCAAATCCAAGAAATTGTTTTTCGTGGGTTCTTCCATGGGTGGCACCATTTCCTTGGCCGTGGCGCAAAAAATAGTGACGACATCGGACGCGGCAGTGACAGGAGTGGTCCTCTTGGCACCCATGCTCATGCTCAGTGTGAGTACTCCCGAACGATACTTGCTCTCCTGTTTGGCAGTGTTACCCGGTGTGGGAACCTTGGCCGTCATTCCCAGCAATTCCACCGACTCGGCAACGTCTTATCGCGACCCCGAAAAACGAAAAGAATGCGACGACGATGCCTTTAGCATTAGTGGGAAAATGAGGGTTGGTTCGGCATCCAGTTGCGTTCAAATGGCCGCACATGTTCAAGCACAATTCACAAACATCCAAATCCCATTCCTGGTCCTGGTGGGAGATGAAGATGTCGTCGTCAAAAATGAAGGAGCCGTCCAGCTCATGGAACAAGCGCCCGCCAAGGATAAAACCATGAAACGGTATCCGGCATTGCATGGACTCTTGTGTGAACCCAAACCATTGGTGGATCAGATTCAGGGGGATATCCTGCAGTGGATGAAGGAACACAGTTAAAGAACTAACTAAAAGGATGGCCATACAATCATTCGAATGGCTTCATTAGATGCATGTTCTGACCGGAAAGCACGAAGTGTGGCGAAGAAATGTTCAAAGCAGGTCAATTTGGCAGAGACACAACCCCGTCAGCGTCAGTGCTGGCCTACTAGCGGCTGCCAATGCCACACCATAGAATTATAGGGTGCACGCCATATTAGTATGCAAACCTTTCGTAGCAAATCCACTGTTTTACTGTTTACACATTAACCAGTTTCTTCTCCTCAACTTCGGCCTTCGCCGTCGCAAAGAATGGTTGCTTCATGGGCTCACTCTTGCCCGTCGTTTGAGGTTCTTCTATACTACTAGCATCATCATCTGTTTCCTCCGTGTCGCCATCCAAAAAGGATTTGACCTTCTTGGCTTGTTCATATCCGAATGTCACGCAATCTGGAAAGGCCACTCCTGTGCGGTAGTTGCCGCAAACCCACAAGCCAGGTTGTTTCTTTTCCGCTGCCTCCAATTCCTGAATGATATCCGAATGTCCTAGTTCGTATTGAGGAATGGCCGTGGGCCAAATTTTGAGGCCCAGCACTTTGGGTTTCGGAGCATCTGGTTTGAGCAACACTTGACGACATCCCTTGTCAACTTCGGCAATGATTTCTTCATCGGACAAATCGGCCAAGGCCGTGTCGCGAGAGCCACCAATGTAGTTCAACAGCAAGTTGTAGTCCTTGGGGGCACGTCCAGGGAAGAGGGACGAACTCCACAGAGTACCCAAGGTTCGAACGCCTTCGGTACGTGGATTCAAACTTCCAAAGCCAGGTAGATCCTGCAGATTTCCAAAGCCATTGGGCAGTTCCACATCCTTGAAGGAGCTCTTGGGGTAGGCTACTGTCGCGGCGCAGACGGGAGGATGGTAGATTCCCACTCGATCAATTTCCTCTCGAACTTTGTCAAAGAGACAAGCAGCCCCTGGAAGGACGGGATCCAGGACATTCCTCAAGGAATGCGCTGGAGCTGTGGAGACCACTGTCTTGGCCGCGATTGTTTTTTCTCCATCGGGAGTATCAAATGTCGCCTTGTAATCACCAGTCTCGCTGTTCTTTTCGAGTTTGGTGAGTTTCCACTGCAGTTTCACAACGTCTCCTAGCTCCTTTTTAATGGCATTGGGCAAAGTGGAAAGACCCTTCTTGAAGGATCCTGGATTGCCGTATTCGAACTCGGGCCACTCCGGAGCGGGTGGATCGGCTTTGCGTTCCTTGGTGAGTTCGACTTGTCGCTTCAAACCACCATAAAAGATGGCACCCCATTTGTTCCAGCCAATGCTATACGAGATCTTTTCGATGCGTGCAATTTTGGGTAGGGCAGCGGTCATACTCAGTGTTTCTGGATTTCCGGCATATACTCCCGATACAAAGGGATCAATGCACCTCAAAAACACTTCTTCTCCCAGGATACGTTCGACCCATTCTCGAATGGTTTCTTCCTTGCCTTCGGGAGGTGGAGCATGTCCCAAAAAGGCACCAATCCCGGCCCGGATGCGTCCTGGCCAACTGAGTAGATCTCCCACGAGAGCAAACTTGAGGACCCCGTTGGGACCAAAGACGAGTTCTAGCTGTCCCTTGGGTCCCTTGCCACCTTGACCCTTGGGAAGAGGATGTAGTTTGCCATTGTGATTGACCCAAGGAGGCAAGGCTTCATCGGCAAAGACGAGTTGATCGTCAATTCCCAATTCGTAGGCTATCCGCACAATGGAAGGTTGTGTGGCAAACGAGTTGGGTCCTTCCTCCCAGATGAATCCATCGTCTGTCTCGTGAGAAATCACGTTGCCGCCCAAATAGTCTCGAGCCTCGGCCAACACAATGTTCAAATCATGGTTGGCATGTAGATTGTGGGCCAAGGTAGAACCAGAAATTCCACCGCCAATCACCAAACAGTCCAAGGGCTCTTCACTATTGCTGCTAGCATTATCTTCGGGTGACGCCTTCAGAACACTTGTTCTGCTACCGGTAGCAATTGTCGGTGAAGCCACCGATATTTTGGGCGAAAGAAAGGCACTGACGGACGAGGCCGTCAACGCCAATGTCAGGGGAATAAGGGACGAGATGTATACCATTTTTAAAATAAGTAACAGTCTTCTGACTTCCTATCTATCCAATCAACTATGGGGCAACCTTGGGTCCTGTAGATTGGAGTGGGTCTTTTCCGCTTATTGGCTTCCTTGGATCCGCAACCGCAAACAGTCTCGTGGAAGTGAAAGGAAATGATGCCGAGCCGCGAAACTTCAACTTTGTGATGACGATGACGCACAACTTGATATCTATCGTGGGGCGCGCACTTTCTCTTTGCGGAGCGTGGAACGTGGAAAAACTTGACGAGCAAGCAAAGTGAGAAGTGTGAGAGATCATTGCTACAGAACTAGTAGCTAGATTGGTCTTTGGACGCGACCACCTACTGTAATGCATACCGGTAATATCAAAGCTCTCCCTATCCTACGGTACAGTACGGTATCCTTTCGCAAGTTACAACCAACCAAACCGTATATCTAAGATTTTCAAGGAGACATCATGCCACCACCGCCGTTGAAGAAGCACAAAGCTGGACCTGCTGCTGCTGACAATGCTACCGGGTTGGAAGCCAACAATGACACCAGCAGCCTAGCGCCGCCATTGGCGCTGGGCCGGTCGATCGCAGTGCAAAGGCGATTTCACTGGAACAACTTGCACAATCGTTACTTGCAGAATTTCCAGGAACCCTTTGTAGACTGGTTCTATCAGGTTGCGTTGGACAGAGGGCTACCGGTACGCTAGCCTTCGACCCGAAGACAGAATCTTTATTCCAACAGGGGCTTGAGTCACTCCTGCTTGGAGTACTCGCCAACACACAAACAACCATGGGACCAGATCCAACCATGAAAGCAACGATCAGAGCTACGAACGCTCACTCATGGAAAGATGGATCATACGCGGGCCACCAGCACCTCCACCACCTAACACCACAACTACTCAGACACAACAACAAAGTATCCATGTTGGTCCACAAAAGCTCACAAACGCTGCATGTCAGGATTCAGATTCACATCTCCATTTTGCCTTCATCAACAATCCAACAGATAAAGGACATCCCTAGGAGAAAGAGGATTCACACACGTTGCAAAATCTAGTTTTAGAACATCACCCCTTCGGGGAAATGTAATTACTAAGTTATAACGTTGATTCCCACTAGTGCAGCAAGAGAAACAGTTTCAAAGACAGGATACAGCTGATACTACCGGTACCGGTACTGTATTGATGTGACATAATAATGCAGAAAGTTGCAGAGCAGCTGTCCCTCCACCTTCCAGCCGGCACTAATAATACATCAAAGCATCAGTCACTACAGGCAGCTTCGCTTCTACTGATTCAAACGCGCACCGAGCTTCTCTGTTCACTTCTACAGGACCTCTCGTAGACGTGTACCAGAAAGTGTGGCACGCGTTTGATTCATTAAAATCGAAGCTGCTCGTACTAGATCTAATTCTTCCGATTACGTTCATGAGCCAACCGTGCGTAAGCGGATGCCAATTCATCCTTGGCTTTGCACTCTGGAAAGTTTTCCAAGTCGTAGTAATGCGGCGCCAAATCCACGAGCCAATCCACGTTGGTGGTTGTGACGGTTCGAATAAAGTTTTTGGTGGTCAAAGCAAACTCTTCAAAGATGACCCATTCTGGTTTGGAATCGACGACGGAACTAGGATGGATCTGAACCGTCTGGTTGTCCTTGACCGTCAGATAGCCACCCCCTTGGTCTTTGTGTGCCGTTTGCATAAACATTCCCGACGTCAATGCATGACGAATACTGGTAAATGCAAAGGATCCGTCTCCCTTCATGTCTGACGACACAACGGGGAGATCCAGCTTTCTCATGATTCCAGTGAGTTGATTCCGTACATTCTCAGCACTGATCATGGTACGATCACTAATAAAGTTGTCCCAACACCATTGCTTGCGATCCCTTTCGGGAACATTTTCGTAGGCAAAGTATGCATTGAGCATGGTGATATGGTCACTTTCGGGATGTGTGAATTGTGCCTTGGCTTCGTCTGCCTGTTTGGCGGTATCCCGTGGTCGCAAGAATATTTGCGGGACACTGAGACAAGCCACAATGGTGACAATTTCGGCCGAACATCCGTAGTCTGGACTGACCAGAATCAACTTTGCTAATTGTGGATCCAGCGGCAACTCGGACATTTGATATCCCAAATCGGTGAGTTCTCCCTCATCGTCCAATGCACCCAAGTAATTGAGTAATTCCAATGCCCGCATGAGTGTTTCGGGAGCCGGAGGATCCATAAAATCAAAATGCACCAAGTCATCAATCCCCAGTTTCTTCAACGTCAGCACGACATTGCTCATTTTGGATCGAAGAATTTCGGGGTAGGTTGTTTCTTGCAAATCTTCATGAAAGCTCTTTTCGGTGTAGAGTCGAAAGCATTTTCCCGGCCTTGTTCGTCCAGCACGTCCCGCCCGTTGTCTGGCACTGGCTCGTGAGATGGGCGACACCAACAAGGACTCCACGCGAATGCGAGGATTGTATACTTTTTGTTTGGAGAATCCCGGGTCGACCACGTAGACAATGCCATCAATGGTAAGCGATGTCTAATAAAGAAAGAACGAAAAAGAGAGATAAGCAAGTGTGGTCAGTAAAAGATTGTCTTGTTGTGTTGCTTTGGCAAGTTGTGTGACACGATACTAAAGACTCACCTCTGCAATATTGGTACTAACTACCACTTTTCTTCCGGGAGGCCCTCCCACTACGCGGGGTCCCGGTGCCGCAGAGAATATTTTGCGTTGTTGATGGGGTGGCAGAGAGGAGTAGAGTGGATAGCAGACCAACTCGGGGACATCTTTTCCCAATCCTCTCGCCTTGTCTCTTATTTCCTCACATGCCTGTTCAATTTCTTGTTCTCCCGTGAGAAACACGAGTATATCTCCCGGTCCTTCGCATTCATGAATGTGTAGCGTAGTGCGCACGGCCGCTTCGACGTAGTTTGGTTCCGGTTTGGCCGTGTAGAAAACTTCGACGGGATGCGTCCGTCCCGGCACCTTCATGAGTGGGGCATTGTGAAAGTACTCTTGAATTTTGGCGGCATCGAGTGTGGCACTCATGACGACTACCTTTAGTTGTCCCGCCTGTGATCCTTTTTGTCGTTTGGGTAGAATTTCCATGAGGAGTCCACAAATAATATCGGTACTGAGTGTGCGTTCGTGAATTTCATCGAGTACCAACGCCGAGTATCGACTGAGCAAGGGATCCGACATGGCTTCTCGCAAGAGCATTCCGTCCGTGACGAATTTGAGTACAGTAGTGTTGGAATCCGTGACATCTTCGAATCGAATAGTGTATCCTACTTCCGATCCCAATTCCACATCCATTTCGTCGGCCACACGAGCGGCAATGCTGGTGGCGGCCACTCGACGAGGCTGTGTGCAAGCAATGCATTTCCGACCCTGTTTGGCCAAGCCAGCTTCTAGGAGAAATTGGGGAATTTGAGTTGTTTTTCTGTAACCAATAGAAGTAGAACAAAAATGAGACAAAAGTTAGAACCCAAACAAGACAATCTTCCAGTTGATTTTTGGTGGTTGCTGTGACTCGACTTACCCCGACCCAGTTTCTCCCTCGACGACAACAATTTGGTTTTCCTTGACGCATTCGATCAGTTTGTCCTTGAATTGGTAGACGGGCAGTTTTTGTCGCGTTGCCAGAATGGAATGGTACTTGGCCGAAAAGGGAATTCCTGTCCAAGGATTCACATCATCATCGCCACTACTGCCATCGGTCTTGCCCTTTTTATCAAAGACGTCCCCCAAATCAATCCTTCTCTTGCGGTCTGAGGACATGGTCGTCGTCTCGTTTTATTTTTTAGAGCTGGGAAAGGAGAAGAATGGAGGTGGAGAGCCGAAGGTGAAAGGTGAAGGACTTGAGATCCAGCAAAGGGTTTTCGTTTCGGTGGCTGAGCTCCATTCGTGGGAGGAGTGAGAAACGGGATTCAAACCCTTCAGCGTCATTTTCCAAGAACAGTTCACCAAGCATCATCATCGGCACTTCTTGGACTCGACTCCTGCCCTTCACAGTAATTACTCAACCTTCTTCTCATTGTTGTGCCAGAAGAGAAGTCCAGGCCACAAGAGAGAGCATTGATTGATTGAACAGAATCGAATCAGGATGATCTCCCTTCGTCACATGCGTCGTGTTAGGTACAGAAGCAGCAGGGTATCATGGCAATCCGGCACCAACAACAGCAAAGGTACTCTCACCACATTCGTTAGCAGGCAGTATGCAACCACGCCAATTCCAAGAAGAATATCCTTGGCAGCACTCCGTCGTCAGGGCCTCAAGAGATCTAACAGGCATTATCATGATGCCAGTCTGTCAGTGATACCCCTGAGATATCTAAGAATCCTCGTTTCCAATCATGGAACCCCCCTGCTTCTGGAAGTCATTGCCCCACATTCTACGCGAGAAGATGACGACAATACACCCAGAATACTAGCCTTTAGTGCCGCACTCAAGGAAGAAGGCTTGTTATCCAGAATAATACAATGGTGCCACGACTTTATTCACTCCCTTTGGGAAGCCATTCAAGTAGTGCTGAGGGTATCCGGAATTGCTATACGAATGTCGCCACTGATGATACTCTCACCAGCAGCCTACCTGACATCCCAAGTCACTCAAAACGACAATAATGCCGTCTCGGAGCTGGCATGGTCCTACTTTATGCATGTCGTACAACACCTCGGTCCAGGCTATGTCAAACTATGCCAATGGGTCGCCACTCGACGAGACATTTTCCCAAAAGTCGTCTGTGATCGATTGTCCAGACTCCATGATAAGGGATATCCACACTCTCTCCAAGAATCCGAGCGAATCTTGCGACAGGCATTTGGAGACGACTACGATACCAAACTACATCTCGAACGCGTCATTGGATGTGGATCGGCCGCCCAAGTCTATCAGGCCACCTTAATGAACAACAACAGCAACAACAATAACCATGATGGCAGTACATCATCTCCCGTGGCCGTCAAAATACTCCATCCCGGCTTTTCCAGACTCATTGAAAAGGATCTCTGGCTCTTGGATACCGTATCCAAGTGGTTGCACGAATGGGCACCCGAAGGATCCCCCATTCAAATGATGAATTTGCCACGCGCCGTACAAAACTTTGGCGACAATCTACGACGACAAGCCGACTTGACACTCGAAGGGGATAATCTCATTCAGTTTCGTCGAAACTTTTACGGACAAGACGAAGAAGAAGGTCAAGCCAGTTCCGCCATTTTCTTTCCGCAACCCAAACCGGGATGGGTCACGAGCAATGTGTTGGTGGAGGATTTGGTAGAGAATGCCACGCCCATTGCCGAATTTTTGCAAGATAACACCGAGTTGGGCTTGCAGACACGCAAAGACTTGGCAGGACCACTCCTACGAGCCTTTTTGAAAATGGTCTTTCAAGATAACTTTGTGCACTCGGATATTCATCCCGGAAATGTACTCATTCAAACGACAACCACGGAAGCAGCCGACAATCACAATCTATTGGAACGTTTGTGGCACCAGTTTCGAAAAACCGAAGCTGACGACGCCACGACACCCACCACGGTCACCAAGAGAACCATTGTCTTTCTCGATGCCGGAATTGTGACCTCGTTGGATGATAACGACCGCAGAAACCTCAAGGATTTGTTCCGGGCCGTTATTCTGAATGAAGGGTACGAAGCCGGACGATTAATGGTGGAACGAGCCAAGTACGAACGATGCAGTCAAACCGAAGGAGGCGTCGAGGCATTTGCTACCGGTGTGGGAGACATTGTGGCAGAATTCCACGATCGACGAAAATCGGGGTTGACTCTGGGTGCCGTACGGATTGGATCTTTGCTGGGACAAGTACTGGACTTGTGCCGAGTGCATGGCGTCGAGATTGACCCGTCCATGGCCAGTATCGTCATTAGTACGCTCGTGTTGGAAGGATTGGGACGGTCCCTCGAACCAACCTTGAACTTGATGGATTGTGCCATTCCCTTTGTGCTGGGAAGGGGGAAAGTGTGAGGAAACGACTAGGCAAGCTAGCTAGCTACCGTATAGACCGTTTTCAAATCTAATTATAGAACTTAATTAATCCCTCCAGGGACTTTGTAATTCCTAATAAGTTAACATAGACCAGATTGTCCACTCCGTGTAGTCTTCATGTATGTATTCATTCGTCAATTGCTTTTGAGAATGTGTCGCAAAATACCGAAACCCAACCCCGCTGTCCGAAACCTGTTCTGAACCTGACAACGGACAGACCATTTTCTCGGAAGGATCTTTGGCCCGCACTTGCAAGCGCAAAAGATATGCACTTTCGGTGCTGACACAAGAAAGCGAACCTGTTGGCTTCTTGGCCATCACCCATTTTTTTGGGTACTGAATACAACTCCGTTGTTGCTTGTTGTTGTAGCAGCTCTTGTACCCCACATACCCATCAGTTGGGCTTTCGTTGCAAACTACTGAGCAATTTATCCTTTTGGTCAACCTTATTATTGTACTAATCATCAGAAAAATTGGCCACTCTCAGAATGATTCGACAGGTATCTTCCTCCGTTATCCGCTCGCTGTCTGCCCATGGCGGCAAGTCGCAAGTGCCAAAGAAATTCGTTGGAACGGCACGATGCCTTTCCACCAGCCCATGGGCAAACTATGAAATGGCGCCCTTGGATCCCATCATTGGTTTGACTGAGCAATACAACCAAGATTCTTTCCCGCAAAAGGTGATTGTCGGTGTGGGAGCCTATCGCGATGATGGTGGAAAGCCCTACATTTTGCCCTGTGTGAGAGAGGCAGAAGATCGACTTTTTAAAAAGCATCTAGACATGGAGTATTCTGGAATTGTAAGTCTGGACCAGAAAATGATTCTACGAGTATACGTCTTGGGGTTGCCCTCACCCTTTTGATTTTTGCGCTTTTTCGTTTCTTTGCTCTTTTTTCTGCTAGGCTGGAGATGCCAATTTCGTAGAGGAATCCTTGAAATTCGGATACGGTGAGGATTGTGTGGCACTTCAGGAAAATCGTGTTCAGGGAGTCCAAGCTCTCTCCGGAACGGGTGGCCTGAGAGTCATGGGGGAGCTTCTTCGCAAGAACGGCCACCGACACATTTATGTACCCAACCCAACGTGGGGAAACCACAAGGCAATTTTTACCAATGCCGGTTTGGAGGTCAAGACGTATGCATACTATGATGCTGAATCTTCTAGTTTGGACTTTGATAGTTTGGTGAAAGATTTGAAGGACATCCCTTCTGGTTCTGCAGTTCTGCTTCACGCGTGCGCCCATAATCCCACAGGGTAAGTCTGGTAAAGTGGCATTTGGAGATCATGAAAGTGAAAAGTGGCAATATCAAATAACAACATCGCTCACAAGCTTTCTTCAGTATGGATCCTACAATGGATCAATGGAAAGAGATCAGCAGCATCTGTAAAGAGAGAGGATTACTTCCCTTCTTTGACATGGCCTACCAAGGCTTTGCTTCTGGTTGTGCGGCCACGGATGCTGCTGCCTTGAGAATGTTTGTTGATGAAGGACACCTCGTGTGCACGATTCAGAGCTTCAGCAAGAACTTTGGTCTCTATGGACACCGAGTAGGCACTCTTTCTGTGGTTGGGGCAACAGAGGAAGAAGCACAGAAGGTTGTCTCTCAACTCAAGCTGGTCATTCGCCCCATGTATTCCAACCCCCCAAGACACGGTGCGAGAATTGTCCAAACCATTCTTTCTGATCCAATGCTGAGGGAAGATTGGGAAGTCCAGTGTGCTGGAATGGCGGCCAGAATCAATACAATGAGGACTGTTTTGAGGGAAAGGCTGAGTGCTGTTGGATCTTCACGAAACTGGAATCATATTACCAAGCAGATCGGCATGTTTGCCTTTAGTGGACTCAGCAAGGAACAGGTAATGAAAATGAGAGAGAAACACCATGTCTACTGCACCCTGGATGGCAGAATCAGTATGGCGGTAAGTCAATAATGAGTGACGAGTCGAGTCAGCATTCCATTGAATATTTTTTAGCATTTCTGACCTTCTTGCTGCTTTCTAGGGTGTGACATCTGGCAATGCCGACTACATTGCAGAGGCCATTCATGATGTCTCCAAGTAGACTAGACTAGGGTGCCAGCCAGCCAGCCCTTCTCTCTTTAGTTGTAACTTGCTGAGCCTGTTGAGTTAGTGCACTAAAAGTTATCAGACTTGGAGTATCAGTTAAAAAAATTAAAAAATTGGCTGAGAATTCGGTACGGCCGAGAATTCTCCACAATCCAAGCCGTACACTGTGCGATAGTCGTTTCCATGGAAGACAAGCTCAATGTCACATTGTGAGAGTACCGTACGAAAGAATGAGTGCTTCGTCATCCCATACATCAACATTTTATTCATAGGCTAGCTAGAAGCCAGAGAAGCATGTTTTGATGCATGGAGGAGTTTCTTATTGATTACATGTAGCTAATGGAACAGACGCCTTGTTTCTTATTTTATATGACTATGCTGACTCTTCTTTACATTCAGTCAAAATGAGATCAAACAATGATCCCATCTGAGTATCCTTTCCTCGCCGTATCCACTTGCCATGATGCATGCTTTTTCTCCAACAACAGTACATCATTGTCCATTTCAATCCGGTCCACCACAGCGTTGTGTTGAGATTCGAACCAAGTGTTTTAGGGTTCTTCCTCGGCAGCAGTGTTACCCTCGGCAGCAGTGGTACAGCCATCGTCGCATGACACTGCCCCACCCCAGGCAGTCATGTGTTGTGACAATCCATTGGTGACACAGCGGTTAAGGTTGACGCGACCAAAGAAGAAGGTTCCCTTGACCATGACTTTGTTATCTCCGCAAGCGCATTGGCAAACTTGTGGCGCTGTATCTGGGCAGGGTCCGCATGTATCCGTGCTCAATCCCAAAGTAAGACCCTGCACAATGTTTGTTGCACAGATAGAACGCTTGACGGAGCTTCCGAAGAGTGTTCCGAATTCACGACAGACGTAGGTTCCAGAGAAAGGAGCTTTGTTGCACTGTGACTCTGCACGTGTATCTTCGGCACACTGAACATTGCTCAATGCAACGCCAAGTTCATCGATAACACCGCTAGTGGCGTTGGCGAAATCAAAATTAATACTGGGAAGTTGCGCCGAGGTGCTGCTGACAGATGCCAACAAGGCCAACACGTAAAGGATTGTCTTGAAGCTCATGTTAGTCGTTTAGTTGATTGCTTGATTGTTTCCTCGAGCGAGCTCTGCTGCTGGTAAAGTCCTGAGCAAATGAATTCCGGAATTGTGTCTGAACCAGCAATTTGTTTTCTCACTGTCGCAAGTTCAGCGAGCAGAAATCATTGATGGTTCCGAGAGCCCCGTCGCTGAGCCGGGTGTGAGCGGAACAAATAGTTGTGATACCGCCAGGCTTCAGTCATGGATACTGCCGTAAAATAAGGTTACTTAATTGAAGCAAGTATTCTACCTAATGCCAGGAGCATGGCGGAGCCAAGAGATCCATGCTTCCCACATATTCAAGCGGTTTAGCGATCTGACGCGAAGTGTACTCCTCCATGGACAGGATACTGCTGTTGACCTTCATCGCTGATTCTACCTGCGATTACTATCATCAGTCCTGCAAAAACAGTGTGTACATAGACGTGTATTGGACCAAGAAGTCTGGTTTGTCGATCCCTTGAACATTTCAGGCGAGTGCTCACAATTCTTGTGAAAACTTCCACCACAAAAGCTTATTTCTTCACAATTTCTAAAGTTCCTCAAGATCACACATCCAAACTCCCATCATGAAGTACTTGCTCATCATTGCCGCTCTTATCGCATCTTTCAATGGTGCCGTTGCTCAAGAACCTGAAACGGAACCTGAAAAGGAGGGCTTTGGTACTGCCATCCGAGGCTTCCTGGCTGACACTTTCTCCGCGGTTCAACAAGTGGATATCCCAACTCTTGGTAGTGGAGCCGTTCTTTCGTCCGTAGAGTGCTCTGACGAAGAGCGAACGGCAAATGCTTGTACTGTGGGTGCCAATGTCGAAGGGCAGTACGTGTGCCGAACAGTTGGAGAGCTTCAATTCACCATGTGCGCACCCAAGGTGTTTGATATCTTCGTTGGTGGACCCGACGATACATGCGGTTGCTGCCCTGGATCTGACTGTGGTGCCCGTTCCACCTGCTTGTGCTCTTGCCAAGAAGGAAGAGGCGTTCTTGTCAAGCACAGTTTCTTTAAGTTCCTTGGCCGTTCAGTCGCTTGGACCGCATGTTACACTCCCACTATCGCTACCCAAATCATGCAGGCCCGTGCCGAGTTTGGTTGCGACGACCAATGCCCGGCTGCTGTCGCAGCCGCCACCGCCGCCGCTGCCTCCGAAGAAGTCACTACTATGGCACCCACCTCTTAAGAAGCTACGGTGATTGACTCGACTGTGCCATAACTGGAGGGAAGGAATGGATAATTTAGGCTGCTGGAGACTGCGGCATGGAATGGATTTGGATGGCACTTTTGTAACAGAATCAGTTGGGCAGTTTCGGCAGAAAGAATAATCTTCACAAAGAAGGTAGTGGATGAGACTATATTCATAGTTGGATATGACTATGAATATAGTTGGTTGAAGTTGTAACTTAAAAAGTAAATCGTCATTTCAGAATACGCGCTACCAGCAATATTTCTACTTAGTATGTCGCAGTCATCTACCGTTGCTGATGTGTATACAAAGAAGCATCAGGGCGGAGAGATGAGCCTTGTGCTTCGCCTTGTCTCGCTCTTGCTCTGTCGTTTGTGCAAGTGTACGGATCAGCCCGTGACTTCCAAAAGAGAAGATAGCAAAGCAAAGCCAATGCATCTCGCTAGCGCATACCACTATCGGTACCGGTAGCTCTAGTACCGGTAATTGCCCGGTATAATCGTTGTTTCCAATGCAAGAAGCATATGCATAGTCCGTTGCATGAGGTGGCTCTGTTCACCACACAGTCACAGCCATGCATGTTCAGCTAAGAACAGTCCCTCGGGATCATCCGAGCCCCTTTGGTAACACCGTCTTCAGATCCGCTGCGATAGAAGAAACTGCCGGGTGGGTGTAAAAAGATATAAAGATCCAGGTCCTCTGCGGCGAGCTATTAGAATGGCTGCGATGAGGACTGACTCATCACTCGGCAAAACTGAGGATCGTGTCCGAGGTAAGCTCGCCGGCCTCCGATAATTTGTCCGGTAAAAACAATTAAAAATGAAAATAATAAGAATAAAATACAAATATGTTCTATTTGGTCCTTTACATGGGTCAATTTCGAACATTTAAACAAAGCTAATCGAAGATCCTTCCTGGTTCTCAAATTCACAAAACGGGCTCTTTGGCGATTGTTGGATGCAAGTCGGAACATCGCCACAAAGTTCGAAGCTGCCTCCTGCCTCCATCACTTGTCTCATGCTGCATCACTATCACCACAAGACAAGCAAAATCCATCAAAATATTGTGTAGATCATCCGCAATGAGGCTACCACAATCAATCTACGTTTTGTTGCTTTGCACCATCTTCACTGTAGTGCTTGCTCAAACTCAAGAATCAGAATCCACTCCTTTGGCGCTCCCCTTTGATTTTCCAGATTGGTTAGTTCCAGACCATGGAGGGCAACTACCTTTTCTGGCAACAGACAACCTCGCAGTTGTAGACTGCCCACAACAAGTCCGAGAAGCATCATCGTGCTCAGTGTTTGGAGAACAAGGCGTGTTCGTCTGTCGAAGATTCTCCGGGTTTCTGAACCTATCCATTTGCACGCCAAGCATAGAGAATAACGTTTTGGGGATTCGAAATGACGTGTGTGGTTGCTGTGGCGAGCATTGCCCTCAGCTGTGTTCCTGTCTCTGCAACGAAGGCCGGGGAGTAATGATAGAGTCCAAGGTCGTGTTCTTCTGGAACGTGCGAGTGTGCGTAACACACAACATGGCTGCCTACCTTACTCCGCTTCGAAAAGAAATCAACTGCGATAACAGCTGTTTGGCAGAGTAACGAAGAGGAAAGCTTCAAGCAAGATATACAGGACATTGTACCCATTCCAAAGTACATTCCTCTGGCGTTCGCCAACCCTTAAATTTCGACCGTGTGCCGACTTCACACACCCGACTTAGTTCTTGTATCAGTATCAATAATGCATCATTAATAAACTAACTAAAGGTTATCTGCGGGGCAGTCAATGTTGTAGCAGCCAATCCAGCTTCTTTGTGGGACTTTTCATGTCCGTGGGGTGCCTCGGAGGAGCGCACGCTATGGTTTGGCTATTCTTGACTACTAGCAAGCTCCCGCCAGCCACTCAAAACAACAGGGTAAAGCTAGCCAAGTACTCGTACTATTCAGGTCGTCCTCGAAAGTTTCGTAGAGCCACCGCCTCACGTCTCCTCCTCACTGAAATGAGGAGGAAGAAGAGCTTCAATGATTCCATGGACTGCGTTTGGGCCGTGCTGGGAAAAATAGTACATACGGCAGCTACCAACCATTTGTATTAATTACAAGGCTGCATATATGGGCTGGACCGTCCGACGGTTTTCACACAGGATTTTAAAAATCTTGAAATTGCCACGACTGACTGACCGTTTAAAACAATCCCTTAAACAATCCCTTAACTCATCAACTATCCCTTAAACAATCCCTTAAAGAAACAATCCCTTAAAACAATCCCCTAAATCTTGGACTATCCCCTAAACAATCCCTTAACGCCAAATGGAAATACCATACAACTATCCCCTATTTCTTCAACTATCCCCTAAACAATCCCTTAAATAAACAATCCCTTAACAACAATCCCTTAAATCTTTGACTCTCCTTTAAACAATCCCTTTTAAGAAACAATCCCTTAATTGTGCTGGTCAAGTTTTTTGTCAGTCGTGGAAGCTTTTTAAATCCTGAGTGAAAACCGTCGGACGGTCCTGGTAATCAGTTGAAGACCAGGTTGTTCTCGACTAGAAGCTACCTGGTAGCCAGTTGCTAGATAGTGCTATATTGACAAAGTCGCGAGCGTGCTGCAAGGTCCTGAAACGGGACTCAAACTATAGTTTCACGCTTTTTGTTAGTTTCACGCTTTTGGGTTAGTTTCACGCTTTTTGTTAGTTTCACTCTTTTTGGTTAGTTTCACGCTTTTTTGGTTAGTTTCACGCTTTTTGGTTTAGTTTCAAGCTTTTGGGTTAGTTTCACGCTTTTGAGTTAGTTTCACGCTTTTAGTCGTGTTTACATTGATTTACTATGACAGATACTGTACTAGTTTCACGCATTTTTGGTTAGTTTCACGCGTTTTTGGCTAGTTTCACGCTTTTTGGTTTAGTTTCACGCTTTTTGGTTAGTTTCACGCTTTTGCGTTAGTTTCAAGGAAATGGTGGTCCATTTTCGGTGAAACTAACAAAAAGCGTGAAACTAACCCAAAAGCGTGAAACTAGTCCCATTTCAGGACCTTGCTGAGCAAAGAAACAGCCTTTTTTCCTCAGCGTGGAAAACTGATTTGGAACTTACCTTGTGTGTTTGGGACTCACACAGCGTGGCATCGTGGCACAAAACAGACTGAGAGTCTTGGGCAGTCGTCGTCTGTTAGATGGCTAAGCAACCTCGTAAGAATACCATCCGCTTCTCTATCTAAGCAAGTTCGCCAGCGGTTTCGGTACAGTACACTCGAGGATGTAGCCAGCTTGCAGCTCGATGCAGCTCTTGATGCTACAAGGTACTGGTATGTAGGAATCCACATGCTGTGGTAGGCGGGAGTGGTGGGCGGGTGAGCTTGAACTTTTCCACGTTACCGGCACACCAGCAACATCTTCATGCCTGCTTCGACCTTCGATGGCATTGTTGCTCCTCTCACAAATCTTTGGAACAATCTTTCGAAACAAAATATCACTCTCAAACAACCATGTCATCTCCCTGCAGAGTTCTTGTTGTTGGCTGTGGCCCTTCTGGTCTCGCAGCTGTCAAGGAAATGCAAGAGGCTGGGCATGATGCCATTGCCGTGGACTCACGATCTCAGTTTGGAGGGGTTTTCTCTCCCGATTCCGGTGTCACCTTTGAGACACTTCATCTCACCATTTCCAATATGTTCATGGCTTTCTCTGACTTTCCTCCTTCAGGAAGCATCAAGTTCTGGACTAAGGATGAGTACTTTCAGTACCTTTCCGAATATGTGGATCATTTTGGCATTGCAAAACACTTGCAACTGAAGACAACTATCGAATCTGCCGTGCTCAACAAGGACAAGAAATGGCTGGTGTCATTGGCAACCACGAAGGACGAACAGGAGCAGACAGAGATGCGCACTTTTGACTATCTCATTGTGGCATCGGGAGCTAACCACAAGCCCAATGTCCCCGACATCTTTGGAACATTCAAGGGTGAAATCATTCACTCTTCTGAATATCATTCCGCCGAACAAGTCACAGGCAAGAAAGTCCTTGTGGTCGGGACGGGAGAGAGCAGCGTTGATGTCGCCAGTTCTGCGGCAGAGGTTGCTGAGTCAGTCACGGTCTGGGGTCGCCGTTACCCCGATCTAGCTCCTCGTTTCATCACAGACTACGTTGATGATAGCAACTATGATGAACAGCGTGCTTTCCCCACTCAAGAGAACCGCAAACCCAAGGATTTCCTTGAAGTTACCACTATAACCCGCATCTCTCGGAATCTGCCACTGGCGGCATGGTCGGTTGCTCTGCAAAGCTTGGTGTCAGCAATGAAATGGAAGCATGGAAATCCCTCCTCCCAGAAGATCACGGGTGACTTTGTTAAGACTGCCTGGAGTCAAGATTGGTTCTCGAGTGACAGCTCCATGGTGCCGACCAAATCCTCCATTATGAGCACCTGGGCTGCTAGAGGGCTTTTGGATTTTGTAATCTCTCCCAGCTTGTCGTGCAATGGCTCCACCATCACATTCGAGAAGCCAGGCTATTATGGCACTGAATTCACCAGCAAGGACTCCGTTGACGTTGAAGCTGATGTCATTGTTGCCTGCACCGGCTTTGCGCTTGACTTTGATTGGATCTCCACACCGGATCATGAACTCAACACAAAGCCTCGCTCTTGGTTCAAGCACAGTTTCCCACCTGGTCTTGGCGAGCATATGGCTTTTGTAGGATTTGCTCGTCCTCACTCGGGTGGAATCCCTCAATGCTCAGAAATGCTCTCCCGCTACATTGCATTGCTCTGCAAGGGTGAGCGACAGCTCCCTGCAGACTATGCCACAATAGCCAAAGTTGAAGGGAAACGTGAACGGGAAGCCTACCATGGAACGCCGAACTATGAGCTCCTGGTGGACTACATGGCGTTCATGATGTCAGTTGCTCGGTTGATTGGCTGCACACCCAAGATCCCCATGAACCCAGTGGAGATGATTAAGTACTGGACATTTCCTCAATGGCCCTGCTTCTTTCGCAGTCGTGGTGTGGGAGCGAAACCTGAAGCCACCAAGGCCGTCCTGGACAAGTTTGGTCCACTTGATGCTATGGCTCCTGGGCCGCTCTTGTCGATGCAGATTCTCTTTACTTTTCTGATGCCCTTTATCAATCTCTTCTCCTTCATCTTTGGGCCTGTCATTAATGTGGGAAAGAAAACTGAGCTTCCCCGCGGATATCAGTTCACTATGTCCAAGTTTTGTTTCATGTACACCAACCTTCACTCGATGGATGCGATGATTGAAAGCTCTTACCAGATTCTCGCTGGTGTCTTTCTGATTTTCTTTTTGGTGCTTTCAGTTCCCGTCCAAACAGCAAGCTTGCTAATGAAACACCTCAATGGTGGTACCGGTACCACCAAGAAGGCTGCTGCTTGAGTTCCCACCATTCGTGGCTGGCTGTGATGTGACTTACTGCTGATGATTGCACAACATTGAATATCTTAACTTAGGAATTACAAAGTCCCCGGAGGGATTAAGTTCTATAATTTCACAACATTGAATATCAATATATTATTATTTCTGCGTACTACCAAAGGTTTCTACCATAGATTACTCTAGCTACTAGCTAGCTACTGAGTAGATACAAAAGGTTTTTTCTTTTGCTGCTGCAGCCACGACGGACCAGAAAACTCCACGGCAGTGGGAAAATACAGTTATGATCAAAGAATCGAATCTCAATCATCGAATTCACTCCTGCGGTGCTTCAAAGGTGTCGTGCTCCCCATTGGGGCCAAACTGCGTCTTTTAATCTCTGTTCTAACACTTCAATCAATCTCGTGTGACGTCCGAGGCGTTGAAAGCATCCAACCAATCCGAAGGCACCCTACAGTCTCGTAGAGATTCTACCACTCGCTACACAAAAGTCCACGGGAAAAGCAAAGCTGACTTGTCGCCATTGACACTCGCACATCATCAGCACACTCTTCACAGAAGTTTTGTTCCTTGCGACTATCCAACAAACCTTCACCATGGCCACCAAATTCGGAGACTTCAGCAAAGGACCTAAGGGTAAGAAGATAAGGGCAGAAAAATCGGGGATAGTCTGGCTTGATGCATTGTCGAGATTCAGGGGGATTGTCCAAGGGGTATCCAAGGGGCATCCAAGGGGTATCTTTTTGGTGCATTTGTGTGGTTGTCATTGAATGAGAACAAAATGAATTTTTCTTGTTGTTAATGGTTGACCATCGCATCTTATCTCCACTCGTTTTGTCCTGCAGACCTCTTGGGTGATGATTATTCATCATCAATCTCGCTAAAGTGCAAGAAGCCTGCTGGTCCCGTGGCTGTTACCATTGAGACTGAGCGGGGTGGTGGCGGTGCACTCTCTGCCAAGGTTGGCACCAAGTTCGCATATGCCGGTTTCAACGTGGACAAGGGTCAGTTGAAGGCGGATGGATCCCGAGTCCTTGAAACATCCGTCAAGCCATGCCCAGGATGTAAGGTGAGCTTCAAAGCCGGAAAGGGTGCCGATCTTTGCGTGGACTACACCAAGGGCGCCTTCTATGCTACCAGTGTCTTGGATGTCCTTGATACTTCCAAGATCTCCGCCTCGGCGTCCATGGGACATCCATCTGGATTCACCTTTGGAGGTGCTACAGTCTACGGCCTAGCTGGAAAGACCGGATTCACAGCATACGACGTTGGTCTCAAGTATTCCCAGGGACCCCTTTTGGCCAGTCTCACCACCTCGGGCAAGCTCGGTACCTTCAACGTTGCTCTCAAGTACAAGGTCAATGATGAAATTACTGTTGCCTCTCAGACCGCCCATTCTTCCTCCAAAACTTGCGATGTCTTGGCCATTGGTGGACTCTACAAGGCTGAATTTGGAGATGTCAAGGCTAAGATTGGTAGCAACGGAATGTTCTCCGCTGTTTTGATCAAGGAAATTGCTCCCAAGGTGACCATCAAGGCCAGTGGAGCCGTCTCTACCTCTGACTTCTCCAACTTCACGACTGGTCTTGGAATCGAAATGTAAGGATTTTTCGGGAGTATTGTAAGAGGACGATAATCAATCATCATCATCATGTCAGCACCCATTCCATTGAATTGAAACGACAACAAGCTTTTGTAGCATTTACACACTCGGTCGATCCAGCGACAAGCAGTCATTCGGATCGTCTCGCGTGAAATTGTCCTTGACTAAATTTTAGTTGTTCACTGGCAATGCACACATAGTTTGATTTGTCGTTGCGAGAAAGACATGCAACTTCAGCGGGAGGTTTGTTCGAAATTATTTGTCCTTTTTGGGATAGAATTGAAAGTGACGAATCGAATCAAGTGATCTAGTCTAGCTAGTAGCCCAGTAGAAGTGTTTTCGTCGCTTTATAGGCTGGAACCTGAAACGAAGGATCGCAGCACTTGACCAGTTGTCTGGCCCAGAATCTCTGCCAGCTAGCACTGGACCTTTCTTGAAACTCGTACCGGTATGCGACTATTCCCTTGACAAACTGCAATGCTAGCGCTGGACCGAGGAAGAGGAATGGCAGCAGCCTTACGGCCGGCAAACAAGTGCGTGGCACAAGAAGAAACAGAGGCTACAAAAAGTGCGCTCACCCCCGGAAGACGGACATTATCATGTTGTGAAACACTGGCAATAATGTTTGCTAAATTATTAACATTCCATAGTTTAGCTTTCCTTGTAGTAGTGCGCTTCTACGGTAGTATCTGTTGGGGTTCTCCTCCCAATTGGCCAATGCCACAGTGACAGTCCAAGCGCAGCACCGGTACCGTACTGGTCCACTGCTCCAAAGCCCAAGTCAGAGCAACAATCAGTTGGCGCAACCAGCAAGTTATGGGTACTACCGGTACCGTAACGCTCTCCAAGCCCAAAGCGTTCTTCCCACAACAAGCTTTCAATGCACACACGTTACTGTTTATAGGTCTTTTGTCGAGGCTTAATTTTACATATTTGATTGTATTTTTGTTGTACCAGGTAGAGTTCCCATGCACACCTACATCACTCTATCATTGGACGGCTACTACTAAACTTTGGTTGCTTGCTTGTTGTTGTTGCTATGCCAGTTGTCCACCAGGATTGGCAACAAAACTGGTCTTGGTATCTGGGAATTGTGTATCAATTCTACGCCGAAGGTATACAATTGCTCCGGCAAGTCCTACCAGTGACAAGGACAGCAATGACAAGGACAAGATTTGCAGTGGAGTAGCTTGTTGAATGACCACATCTCGTTTGCTGTCAATGTCAATTTCTCCAGTTTCCGTGTACGAGCCCCACAGAAGCGAGTTGATAAAAGTACAAGCCATGAATTCATTCTCAACCTGATTCTCATAATCTTGATCTTCCCGGTTGGTCTGGACAAAGCCACCCTCTAGGCCAGTCTTGGATTCGCACTTGGCAGCAGCATAGTATAGATTCTCGCACATTTCATTGACATCGTCATAATCTGCTTGATCCTGATCGTTTTGTTCATCTTCGTCGTCATTGCTCTCTAGACACGTCAAGCAGACTGTCCCTTCATCTTTGGAAGCGTGTGAGAGGAGGTGATAAGACAGCTTGCCGCCCAGAACCTCTTCCACGTCCAAATCAGTGTATGGTTCCCAGCAGTTTTCATCCGAGAACAATCCAACTGCAATCTTGTCTCCTCCGGAAGAACAGGTGGGTCCAATGTAGAGCTGAAGACCATCGTCGTCACCGTACTCTAGTTCTTGACATTCGACAAACTGGGCGGCATCGACATAACCATTGTTTTCCAGATTCTCATAGTTATAGCAAATGAGACCACAGCCACTGCAGTAGCCTCCATCTTCGTTGCACTTTTCATCGCAGTTGTCGCACATGTCTTCAAAGGCTTGTGTTTGATACTCAATGGTGGTTTGTAGATACGTATCCACCTCCACGACGTAGGTTCCATAGTTCTCTTCACAGCTATTTTCACAAGAGTCGCTAGGACACAGACGATACACGACAAAGTGTTTGGTAGCCAGTGGAGTGTCATTGTCTTCATCTTCGGCCACTTCGTCTTCGTACGCCTTGACGAATTGGCACTTTTCAAAGACAACGCTGTACGTGGACAAGTCGTTGTATTCAAACGTGGCGGAATCCTCTAATCGACGTCCACCGGGAAATACTGGCGCAGCAACAGTGCCGCCAAGGGCTCCAGCTATTGCCGTTGCGGCTATCAGGAGTCTCCTCATCGTGTTGCTTATTGCTGCTATCTTCTGCCTGTGAAGGTCTATGTTAGTTAGTGGCGGAACCAGAACCACAACATGTCCATCGGCCCTTTTCACCAGTTGCGATCCAACGTATTTAGGTTTTTGCGAGACAGCGCGGGGGGAGGAACACGGTTTGTGACATTTACCGTGTAAATGTTTCTTCTCTCAAATACCTAGAAATTGCAAAGTAGCGGTAGCATACATTAGAGTTAAAGCTCATGACTCAAGGTTTCTCGTGACCGATCTGGAAACACGTACGTGCCTCCGATAAACGTGTCCCATTCAGCTCCGTTCTTTCGTCACTCGAGTGCAAAGATCATGCCTTTCTTGCAATGGTTTGTCCAACAGGGAGACGGGTAGACGACGATACCTGTTTCCACAACAAACGTTGCAAGAAGACCTACTCTTCTTATTTCAGCCAGCAGCCAGCTAGCTAGCTAGATTCGAAGTAGCCTGTAATCACAATAGTTGGAGGTGGTTACCTTGTACTTTTTGAGATACCGGCTTCATTTTTCCCACACACAGGTGGCCATGGCATTCGAGACCCTTCGCACCGACAGTTTCTCCCGCAGCAGAACAGAAATGAGACGGAACAGCAGACCTTATAAATCGTCCAAGTGGATGTTGGCTGTTGCAGTTCCGGCATTTTTGTGCCTTTCTTTGTTGCAGCCGGTCCAAGGAGCCTGGGTTGACCCAGATACCCCCAAAGCTGCCAAGGCAATCAAGGCATTGAGTCCAGACGACAAGCGAGAGTACGAACTGGTAAGCCAATTGAATTTATTGTGTGCCGCAGGGAGTACTTTCGACTACCCGGGGAAACTAATGAAATGAGGCGGTTGTTGGGTATATTTCTGCTTTTCAGGTATTCTCAGACGAATTCGAACAGGATGGTAGAACTTTCCACGACGGAACTGATCCTCGGTGGACAGCCATCAAGAAGAACGATTGTAAGGAAGATCACTGCGATGTTCCTCGAGGCTCTTTGTTGAAATTCCTTGCCTGTCTTATTTCGTATTCCATCCCCATTTCTCAGACACAAATCTAGCGCTTCATTTTTACCATGATGACAATGCAGTCACAACCAATGGGGTTCTGAACATCACCACCGAGTTCAAAACCAATACCTACAAGGCTTTCAACGAAAAGACCAAAAAGTACTATCCTGATGCTAAGCACGTGCAATCTGCCATGTTGCAGGGGTGGAACAAGTTCTGCTACATTGGTGGCATTGTCGAATTCAGAGCAAAACTACCAGGTACCGCAGAGAAAGGAGGACTGTGGCCAGCGAGTGAGTCTCGTTGTTGGGAGAGGAGGATATTGCTTTCCAAACATACTCCCGTACTCATGCACGACCATATCTTATTTTGCTTTCATCAGTCTGGATGCTGGGGAACTTGGCACGGGCAACCTACGTGGGATCCTCAGACTTCATGTGGCCGTTTAGTTACAACCAGTGTGACCCAAAGAGAAGGCGCACACAAGAGATCAATGCTTGTGACAAAATCCAACACTATGGCATGTCGCCAGAGTTTGGTCGAGGGTCTCCAGAGATTGATATCATTGAAGCTATGCAGGGAAACATGAAAGAAAAACTGCCCAGCACGCACATCAAGAGACCGTACCAATCCACATCCTTGCAGGTAAGATGCATGGGAGCAAATCAAATTTGCGTGCATCTTTGGGTTCTCACCTTTCTGGATTCCTGTTCTTCAAACCACTTTGATGTGAAAAGGTGGCACCGGGACTGGAATACGACCGGCCGGTTCTAATGAAGCGTCCGAAAGAGGTATGTGGCGGTAAATCGTGCATGAACTGTAAGCACTGCAGTCCTCTTCTCAGCTCACCAAATGGGTTTCCCCCTACTTTGATTCTCTATCACTTTCTCTGGTTTGTCTGAATCTTAGGGTCATTGGTATGTGGGAGTGGAGTACTCGGAAAGAAACCACTCTGACCTGAATCCGTTCTTCTATGGCACAACGCTTCAACACAAACCAAAAAGCCTTTCCTACCAGGCTGATGCCCTATCATCCAACACACAGCTTAACCAATCTCACTTTGATTCACACCATCTATACCGAATGGAATGGGAGCCACCTGCTCTGAACGGCTCGGGTGGGTATCTAAAATGGTTCACCGACGACGAGTATGTTTTTGGCTTTCACGGCCAATCATTGGACTTCATGCAGACAGAAATCCCGACCGAACCTATGTATTTAATCCTCAACACCGCCGTGTCAAGTCACTGGGGATTCCCCCAACCCTGTCCAGATGGGTGTAAATGTGAATGCTACGAGTGTGGCAACTCTGATTGTGCTTGCGGTTTGCCAGAAGGATACTGCGATAACTTTCCAGCACACTTTGAAATCGACTACGTTCGCGTTTACCAGGCGAAGAATGAATCTAAGCACTATTTGGGCTGTTCCCCGCCGCACAGACCAACCGATCGCTGGATCAGGGGACATGCCGAACGTTACATGGAGGAGGATCAAAAGCGTCCACTGGAGCCCATCACCACTGGCGGTGGGGCATGCACGAAACCCGCCGACTGTGGAGGATCCAACCGGGGTATCTGTACATCCAAACAGCTCTGTCGTTGCAAGGACGGTTGGACCGGGCCGCGTTGTCTAGCGCATGACGCTTTTTACGACTTTGAATTGAGTCAAACCAAGCCAGATCTTGACAGTAAGTGGTGCAGTATTGATGCCCCTCGATGATTTCTCTTCTGCCGCGTCTAATCTGCTATCTTGTTTCTCTACACAGTGCGGAATTTCGTGATGCCACGGGGCCTGGTCGTTTTTATTGCCCTGCTGGCAGTTGGCTTTGGCTTTGCATTCAATGGCTCCCTTAAGCGGCAACTATCAGAACCAAAGTACGATCCCGTTGGGAATGCAAGTTCATTAAAGTCGCCGATACAAAGCCAGACGGCAACGAGCTCATATCAAAACTCCACAACCGGTACAGGCGGGAAGTCAAAGGATATTACCTACTGTGTTATCGATGAGAGATTGGTAAACAAGTAGGTCGGTACCAACCTGCCTTGCTACGAACAAGTCACCCAGCCTTCAACGACGATGAATCCTTTCGATGCAACGAGAGCAGATATCTCCAATTATTGATGCTGGGCTTATGCATTATTGTAGACTAGTAGTTAAAAGCTAACCATGGGTGAATAGATGTCTAATTTCAAGCACTTTGAAAATGGCAAAATGTGTGTGATCCAGGCGCTACCGGTATCCATGGCGTGGCAAGTTTACTCTTCCGGTACCTCTGGGAGCAGTTTGACTTTGAACATGTTGCCCCACCATTTACCCGTGACGTACAAAACATCTGGATCGTCTGAAATGGAAATCCCATTGAACACCTCTGCTTTGTCATTCTTGGTGGCACCAGCCTGGTTCCAGATATCGTTGAAATCTACCGTACGCCAGGAACAATACATCATGAGGGTGAGCAAAATTGCCGGCAAGAATAAGCCACAACAGTTGTAGAAAACGTACCATATTCCTTCTCGACAAGCCCTGTAACGGGGTTGATGATGAGCAGGACATTCCTATACCACACATTGGCCACCACCCGATCTCGCCACCACTCGAGCTCATTGATGCGTACTGCTGGATGTCCGCTCAGTCTCATGATTTGATGTTTTCGTTTTTGCTTGAGCGTCTTCCGATCCCAAAAGTGCAGGTACGCACTTCCATCGCTGACAATGAATTCATCGTTTTTTTCATCGTAAGTAAATCCCCATCCTTCACCTGTTGTTGTGTCATATGTGAATGTTTCCGGTTTCTTGTCGAGATCATTGATGTCATAAATGAATCCTTGTTTGGCCTTGTAGGTTAGCTGGTAAAGCTTGCCATGGCAATACGTTAAACCTTCCGCGAATAGTTTTCCACTCATGCGGACAGATTTGATCGTTTCGCCAGTGTCGGGGTCCAGCTGAAGCACAAATGACGCTCCCTGAAGCCCAACGGATTCGTACAGTTTTCCTATGGGCAGCAGCGTGAACAGGGGAGCCATGAGATTCATTATACAAAGAGAAAAGATGCATGCATGCATCGAGCTTGTAACAACGCCACAATACTAACCATCATAGAATGTCAATCCCTCTGTGAAACTTCGAGCTCCGTGTTTCAAGACATCTTGAACTTCATACATAACTCCATCATCTTTGGTGACTTTAATATTGTGCCACTTTTCAAAATTGAGTTTCTTTTTCTTGTTTTTGTCTGGTTTCTGTTCGGCGGGTTGTTCGTCGATTGTCGTTTCGGCTGGGTCGTTTGTCTCGGTGTCTGCGGGGGTTTCTACCTCATTTTCTTTTGGTTTCGATTCTTCCTTCTTTGCAGGATCTTCATTTTCTTTTTCGTGTTCTGGCGGTTGGTTGTTTTCATCTGGTTTGTCTTTGTTTTCATCTGGTTTGTCTTTGTCACTGTTCTCGGCGTCTTCGCCATCCTTTTCCAGGGGGGCTTTGGGTTCTGTCCATTGCGCCGATGAATGTGGCTTTTTCTTGCCGGGTGTATTGTTGGGATTATTCCTCATGGCTTCGGACATTTTGGCATTATCCGCATTGTTGATGACTGTCCCGTCCTCCGCCAGACCTTCTGTTTCCAGAGCGACATCTTCGGCTGGCATCAAGTATACCTTGGCCCCAAAGCCACTAGCCACTGCCAACAGGCCGAAGACGATGGCAATCACAAAGCAGTGATTCTGCCGTCTCGTGGCTGGTTGATAGATATCATCTTCTGGATTCTTCTGTAGCTCATCCAATGGGTACACTTCGTCCGTGTCTCGTCGTTTCCGGCTAGTCGTTAGCTCCACATCGTTGTCCATGGTGATTCTAGCTAGTGATGCAATTCAATTCAATTAATGCTTCGTCGGTAGGAAATCCAATTCTTGGAACAAAGGTATCTTCGCTTCTTGAAGGTATCGTGGATAGTGGCACCAGTAAGGTATCGTACTTCAGATATTAATACAGTACCTCCTCCGCTTATTCTCTTCCCTTCCAACGTCTTGTTTGTTACCTGTAGCTACAATCTGGACGAAGTCGCAACAATGGACATGTGCGATGGAAGCAGCCACAAGCCAAAAGCCGCAAGAAAAGAAAAACCTTGCCAGAGAACGTCGGGAGTCGAGTCGAGTCGATCGACTCATTCGAATAAAACGAATACGATTGCGAGCTGGATACCGTACTAAGAATCGAATCGAATCTATTCGAGTCTTGCTCGAATCAGCCGAGTCGAATCGAATCAATCCGAATAGAATTTTTATCTAAGATAAGAATAGGGCTTACCCTACGATTAACCACGATCGATTTGATTTGTGACCATGAAATTCTGAAAGATCGCCTGACGGTAAAGTGGATTTGAACGACTTTCGAAGGGTCCGGCAGGCTTTCAATTACTGGCTTGCTGCCTTAAAAGACTGGGAGAAAAAGGAGAGTATTTAGGAAGAGGAAGAATTTCACATCCATCACATAGTTAACAGAGGATCATTCCTTTGAGCAACCTGAGTAAGTAGCTAACCGATATCAACAGGCCCGCATGATGATTATGCCACTCCATCGGATACATGGGAGGAAGCATTTATGTTTGTTCCGGCGCTTCCACTCTTTGGTCGATGGTCGACAGCCATGTCATGTGGACGCAGTCTGCGGGGAACACTTGCTTCGATCCTCTTTGCTTTGAGCGATAAAGGGTCCATCGTGCAACGTTTCGCTCACGTTTGTTCGATGGGAACCACAATGGGGATTCGATACCCCACTGCCGAACACGTCCCTCCATGGCATTGTCTCTTGATGATGATGATGATGAGGACGCCAATGGAAGCAGTTTGTGGAAGAGATGGATAGTGGACGACTCGATCAATCGTTCGTTGTTATAGCGATACCGCAGCTTGACTCAACGCTTTCTAACAACACGATGTTCTTTCTTCTTTGCAGCAACAATCTCACAGCGCAGCAATACGATACGATACGATACGATACCATGGATCTTGCAGACAAGACGAAAGATAAGATCCCCGTGTCCGCCGCGGCCGGGAAGCGAACTACGCGCAAAAAGCCGAAGGACAAGCCCAAGAGGCCGCTAAGGTAGGAAGCAACCAAGCGAACTGTTCCACGGATCAGTCAGCGAAGTCCTTGTTCCTCACACTTTCCTGTTGCTTTCGCTTGTTCCTGTTAGTGCCTACAACTATTTCTTTGTAAGTACCACAATGGAAAGAACAGCCCAGAACAATTGGTGTGCTTTATCCTTTCTCACCCACACGCTCCCCGCTCCATCAATCACTCGCAGAAGGAAGAACGTGAAAAGATCCTCAAGATTCTTTCCGCAGAGGATCCTTACAAGGTAGAACAGGATCCCACTTCACATGACTTTTTGAGTGCGCATCAAATCACAAGCCTCAAAAAGGAGGGCAACAAGGTGTCCTTTGAACAAATGGGGAAGATTATTGGGGCTCGATGGAAGAACATTGACCCAGATCGTTTGGCCAAGTTCTCGGAAATGGCGAGCGAGGATACCGAGCGATACAAGAAGCAAATGCAGTCGTACAATGGTCGACAAGAAGCCAAGATGCGCAGCGAAGCACTCAAGCCTCAAGCATACCACCAAGGACCTCCCCGAGGTGGCCGTCCCGAAGCGGGACAACCACCGGATCCAAGGCAACAGCCATATCCTGACATGGGCTCTTATGCAGGATATGGAGGGTATGGCATGGATGCCTACGGCTATTATGGATATGGTGGCTACGGCGCATACAGTGGATACCCTGCAGGATCCATGGGAGGGAGTCCGGAGCAAATGGACCAGTACTCGAGACAGATGTATGCCGCCCAAGGAAGCATGGGCCAATATTATCCGTAAGTCAACAACCCGGTTGCAATGCCAATTCCTACCCAGTTCTGTTCTATCTCACTCTTACATTTTTGTATAATATATTGCAGAGACTATGGAGCGGAAGGATACTATCAATCCGACCCATATCAAGGCTATCCTCAAGGAGGATGGGGTGGGTCAGTTTAGAGATGTTCATCAGCGAGAAAATGGGGGCTGAATCAAAGGTTCTTGGGCCAATGCCCTGGCAGACTTTCCACAACGTACATACATACTTCAGGTATGAACTTGAAGCTGCAGACTCTTTTGGATGGCGTTCCATCCGATATGTTCCGATCTGGCAGCTACTAAAGCAACAGTTTTACCATAATAATAAATCTAAGGAATGCATGATACGTAATTTCAACAAGATACCAAGCGCATTTGAATCTGTAGCGGTACAGTAGAACTTGCAGTGGAGTGAGCTACCGACCGGTAGCGGTACGGCGTTCCCATTGACCACTTTGATTGCAATTGAGGATTGGACCATTGGACCTCCTCTTGTTCCTGCATTGAGTTGAGTGACTGAGTCTTTGAAGCTACTGTACCGTTACGGTAGTACCAGACAGTTCTACTGGCTTATAGAGAGTTCGAAGAAGGATTGCATGATTGACGATGATGCTTCATTCCAGAATAGAAGCTCTTTGCTCCTGATCACTGTCCTCCCCCGAAAAGAAGCAAGTTGGTGTTGTGTTAGAAGCTGGCAAGCAAGTACGAACAATCATCATGAATTGTAAGGAGCATATTCTTCCAGAGCTAGAGCTGGCAACGGGTCAGGTGCGAGAGGCCCTCCAATGCATCCTTCACACCATTCTGTTCATTCGGTCTCCCGGACCCGTTACGCCTCAAGACATTGACCTGGAAGGCTTTGACTTTACGTACACTCGGATTGCCAATGAGATGAAGATTGAAAAGCGTGTGGATGATGCTATCGAGTCGTTCTTAAGAAGTCTCTCTCAAATTGGACCCGAGCTCTTGAATGTGCGTGAAGGAGATTATACTTTTTATTCCGTGGTGTTTTTGATCAGACCAAACTGACTCCACGATACGATTGCTCCGCCCTGTTTTCTTTGGCTCTTGTTTTCCAGGGATGCTTGACATTGAGTTTCTTTGAACGAAGTGCTTCGAGGCAGTTGTTTGGATTGGTGAAGCATGAGGAAAGAGTCATGTAAGTTGCTGTTGAGTAATCTACCATGAGGTAGCTATTAAAATACATACATGTACACATTATGTAGCACAGGTCCTTCTCGTCTCACCGCGCTGTTGCTCTCCATTTTCCCACAGATTTGAGCAGTGGATTCTCAGAGTAGTCGTTAACAATACGCCACGGCCGATCAGCAATGATTCAGCTGCAGTGATTGAGCGCCAGAGATTGCAGGTGAGTGCAGATTCCTTTGCAAAACCCGAAGAGGACGACTGAAAAATTGCTTGAAAGCATGACATTGATTCCATGACAACAATCTATCAATATTATTTGATTTGTTTACAGGACACAGCGGAAGGAATGCTGCGCAGTGTATTGCAAAAGGTTTTTGAGAATGCAGGAGGTCCAATCGATCATGTGCCTCCATGTATGTACGAATTCGAAATACATTGTTCCAAACGAATGGACGACCGAGAGAATGCAGCAACTCGCTTTGCCAACATGCCATCTCTGATCAATCTTGGAAACTAAAGCTAGCTGGTCAAAAGTCCACAGTTGAATATCAGTTGGAAGAGAAAGGGGGAGAATTTGGATAAGTATACTTGATTTATGAACTAAAACTAAACGATGTTGGAACAGATTTTGGCGGAGGGTGGAACCATCGTGTGTGGGTATGAATCAATATACTGTAGCAGGGCTGCTGTTTGGTTGCTAGCAGGTCATGGCGTTCAGCACACAAGTGCGACCGGCCTACGGGGCGTACTTGTTGCTGGTTTCTGTTTTTCCACTGTCGATTTTGTCCAATCGAGGTCGACGCATATCACCAGTGGGAACTCCAAGTTTCATTTCTCCTGCCGTGTCCAAAAACATGTCAAATGTGTCATCATGGTTGTCCTTGACTATCGTCCCAATCTCGACGAGGTCGTCATCCCCCATGAACAACTCCACTTCTTCGCCCACATAGTAGGGCTGGTACGGCCGGATGAGATCACTAGTGCCAATTATGCTGTGGCTCTGGTCGTCGTACGCCACATAAAAAGCTCCCTCGGCTGTCACGTGATGGATTCGGCCCCTGTACCAGTGGGCACTGTTGTCTTCCAAGAACTCTGTTCCTTCCACCATGTCGCCCGACTTGAGCCAAGCTCCGAATCTAGGCTCCGTGGGCACACCGCTGATATCAACGAAACGGCTTCGTCGTTGGTGATCCACCAGAGGTCGAGTGGTCTTTGCCAGACTTTGCTTCTGGCGAACAGCCGAGAACGCAGGAGCTCGGACTGACGCCCTCTCTTTTGCTTCCTTTGGAGAAGGAATGTAGATTGCGGTGCCTAGCGGAGTGTCGCCAAGAAGTCTCGTTGTCAGGCTCTTCAACCTCTGCAACGACGTTCGTGCAATGGCAGTACCTCGCAGGACACCGTATTTGTAGTCTGATTCTTTGAATCGAATTTCTTTCCGAATGCCCTTCAAGATCGGGTTGAATTCCACTACAAGTTCTGCCATTGCAAAACTGATTGCCTTGTCGTCCGACAGCCAAAGCCATTGATTACCGTTCTGAAGAAGGAAGCGACCTTGTGTGTCACTGACCGCACTCACAATGTACTTTGCTATTCCTCTCTGGAAGAAATTCGATTGGACGAGAGAGGATGCATAGGCGTAAGTTTCCACAAGGGATTGGAAGAAGCGATTCCCAGGGTGATTGTTGACAAAGTCGTTGTACATGTGGAACTGTCTCGAGGCATACCGCGTCTCAATCAAGACATCCTTTCTGTGTGGCAGTGTTGATGGAAAGTGACTCAGGCTAGGCTGTACCGGTAGGGCTTTTTCAATGTCGAATGCGGACTTGTAACGTCTTCCTGCCCTAATATCTTTGGCCCAACCCGTGTTGTCGACATGATTGTTGGCGGCATGCCAAATCCAATAGGCAAGCCCATACAGTATGGCAGAGCGAAACAGCGACGAACCCACTCCACGGACCCCAAATTGCTGTGGCGAGACGCTGTAAATTACCAGGACGGACACGATGTAGAGTCCAACTACAAAGGCATTGATGTACGCGACAAGTTCCAAACATCGCTCCAGCGTATCCTTCAGGAATTCATGCCAGCTTTCCTTCTCCTTGACTTGCCCGTGCAGAAAGGTTGGAAGCCAGTGAAAACCTCCCAGTTCCAAAAATGTTTCTAGCTCATCTCTTCGAAATCCATTGTCTTCATTGGCCATTCTCATAATGGCACTCGAGACATAATCGACTCCCCACGCAGCGTCCTTGGGTTTGTATAGCCCCAGAGCTCGCAGCGTGGCCCATGGTTGCGTCATGCGCGTTCTCGCCTTGGCCAGATCCCAGAGCGTGTGACCCCACATATCCCACCGCAAGGAGAACGTAATCCCCTGCGACATTTGTCGAGATTCGGCTCTCGACTGGGGCTGCGGCACAAAGGTCAGAATGAGCATGACGCGATCGGGAGCATTGGGATCTGTGTGTGCTGTTCCCCGATGATACGAGTTCATATTCATGAGCAGTGCATCCCCCGCTTTCCAGTAGCCCGAGGAGCTGTCGACAGCTGGGAACCCCTCTCGTTCGCAAACTTTTTCGATCTCCCCCGTGGCACATTTGTGTGTTCCGGGACAAGTGTCGGTAGCCCCCATGGCTTTTGTGGTGTTTTGCAACTGTACAAATATACTGTAGGATGGTCCAAAGGTTCGTCCATACTTCATAACCGAAGCTTGCGCCACAACGTCATCATGCCAATACTGATTGACAGCGCCAAAAGACGACGTAATGGCAGTCATTTCAATCAATGCCGGGTTGGGTCCCAGTATCTTTTCGAGTGCCGGTTTCAGTTTATCGTGCGTCGCTAATTGCTCTACGGCTCTGGCGACACATGACACTTCGGTGCCCAATCCAAAGGAATATCGATTGTCGTTTTCAATGACAAAGATGGATTCTGGAGCGGATAATTTGCGATTGCGAGAAATCACGTAGTTGCGTAGATCTTGCATGACGGAAGCGGTCAGGACTCCTTGAAACATGGAGAATCCATGCAATAATTGATGTTCGTAGGCTTGTTTTGCCGTGGCATTGTGGGGTATGATAAGGTCATCGGCATCGTTGGTGGTCAAGTCTCGGCCATCGCATTCTCGGTTATAGTAGGTGATTTCATTTTCAGCCCGGCGATCGGTCCACACAGCAGCGTCGATGGTAGGTTTGAGATAGAGCTGATCGACTCGATGAACCCACAAAAGTGCCAGATAGGTTGCAAACAGCAACAGCATGGGCAGATCCAAAAAGAGGGACCGAGCCATCAACAGGATTGGTCGAAGAATGGATTTTTGGTTCTGTTGATTTTTGCCTTTTCTTTTTGCTTTTTTGGAGTGATCTTCGGCATCGCTGTCGTCACTATCGGATTCCATTTTGCCCAATAGAGGTGGAGCGTTTGTAGATGATGTGGTATTATTAGCAGCGTCTCCCACGCCCAAGGCATGCAACACAGCCAAAGCGGCTGTGGAATTGTGGGTGTCCTCAATATAGGGACATTGTTGAATGTATTTTTGCATCACTGCTCGATCGTCCAGAGTTTCGCATTGTACAAGAAGCTGTGACCACGCCGAAATGGCAATCCGCATGGCTGCTCGAGTGGTTCTCTCATTGGGCAGTGGTCGCATCTGGCTGATGACACATGGACCCTCCTTGTTCTTGTTCTCTGATGCCAGACGCCCTAGTGCCAAAAGGGCAGATTGATAGGCAGGACTGTCCGACCCCACAAAGGGACAGAGTTGGATGTACGCTTGCAGAATCTGCACATCAGATATCGATTTTTTGGACAAGGTTGTCACGTGTTGATCCAACTGAGACCAACTAGATATCGCAATGCCAATTGCTTGACGAGTAACTTCACTGTCGTCCATGACCCTCTATACTGCTGATAAAAGACTACTCTGGGGTGCAATAATATCAAACTGAAGAAGGGATTGGCATCCACTTGCTAGCTTGGCCGTTGGGCACATGCCGACAATGGAGACTGTGTTCAAAAAGAGAGAGAAAGAAAACAATTTTATGTACCGGTGGGATCCGGCACGACTGACATTCAAACCAATTCCTCCACGGTTTTTTGCATCGTGGAGGAACTGGCCTAATCTCGCCGCTAATCTCGCAAAGGTTGCTGCATGCTTCATCAGTTCCTTGCTCCACTTGACCTTGGCAATACCGTAAAACATTACAGCAACAAGCAAATTCCAATTCCAGTTCCAGATACCATGTAACTCCTCCATGGCCAGTTGATCCATTTATGCTGTTGTGATATCATTTCATGCTAAACATTTCACGCCAAGGATCCTAGGAGGCGGAAAACAATTCGGGTCACACAGCCGCTATTCCGACACAACCAACCTATAACTCAGTAGTAGCGCTGCTTACCACTAACTTCAGTGACTGCGCTTCGTTGCAATGCATTGGGAGACCGTACAAAGGAAACCTGACCTACTCATTTCCTTCCTCACTCTGGCCCATTTCGTCGGGAGCACCTACACTGTACCAGCAATCGGAACTTTCGGATATACCGTATCCATCCAATGTCCCTTTCCCAAGCCGCAAGCACAGCTCATATCCTTCCCTACAAACCAGGTTTGTATGAGCTATGTTGTTACTAGCTACGGTACCAGTAGTGATTTACCGCGTTGAAGGTACCAGTACACGGTAGCCGGGACCTGGTAGACAGCTACTGGCTGTTCGATTCGATTCGGAATTGAGATATCATTCGTTTGCACAACAGTTTCCGGTACCGGTACCACTAGCTACGTGTACCTGTGAGGTTAGAAGCGAGTGTGCGCGCCGTGATAAATACCCGTACCATGGTACCAGTACCGGTGCTGTCAAGGGAAAGCACGAAGCAGAAAGCAGGAGAAAGGGAGTTACGTAGATCCATGAATGATCAACTTGTTCCAATAGAAAGGATATTTTCCTAGCTAGCTATGCGAGAGGAGCCAAAACCAGCTGGTGGTTGGCAATCACGAGGTGAACCTCCCGGGACTCGCTAGAACGAGGTAGACGTAGAATCCCCTTTTAATTTTTTAGCTTATTCTTTTGTGTCATCTTGTTGTGTTGAGAGAGATACTAGCTAGGCGCACTGGGTGGTGATTTGGATTCTGTGTGCTGGGGAACGCCCGCTTACCAATCCGGATATAGTTTATGGTACCAAAGAGAGGGTTTGCCTTCCGAAAAGACGGTCCAAAAAGTGGATCCCAAATCGTGAAGCAGGCAGTCTTGCCGGCCGGGCCTTCGTTGCATGCCCATGTGGAACACACAATCCCGATTCTAATCACTGCACGCATTCTTGGAAGAAATTACGTCACGGATCGGAATCGTGCTGGTTGGCGTTTGGTAACTGCACGCATGGATCGTTTGCCTTACCTAAAAATGCGCTTCTTAGATGAACCATCGGTTTTTCGAACGCAACATCGCATCAAACTCACTCCGCTAGCCAATTCCGTGAGGTAAACAACCTCCACCTAGTCTTGGCTTGGGTGCAAGTTGTGACGAACGAGTTGGGCTACATAACCTGCAACGGAGGCCGAGGTGCAGTACGATGTAGACATGG